CACCGCCCTGCTGTGCTCTCAGGCCTGGCTGAATGAGAAGTTTGCCCCGGAGCTACTGGAGAGCAAGTCTGAAATCGTGGAATGTGTCATGGAGCAGCTGGACCACATGGTGCGTGTCCAGGGGCACAGAGGGGGCCGTGGTTGGGAATGGCTGGGCGGAGTCGGGCCGGCTTTACCGAACTCCCCACTGCGGGCATGGCAGCATGTGGGGCTCTGTGCCGAAGCACCCGCCCGTGCTCCTCCAGCCATCCCTCTCCCCAGTACCCCCACACGACGGGGGTAGTTGCGAGCATCCCTGCGCTCTGCCCAAGTGCTGTTGGTTTGGCGTGGATGTGTTGCGAGCTCCCCATGCTCCTGGCACTTCGCTGTCAGTCACAGAGGCTAGTAGCTGTCCGCTCATCTGCCATTCTGTAAGCCCTGTAGCATGATGCCAGCCAGCGGGGGCTGCACCGCTTACCATCTCCTGGCTCTTTGTTCAACTGTGCGCTCCAGAGGGGCGTAAACCTCCTGCTTCAGACAGACTTGCAGGTGCCTGGATGACAAAATTGGCCATTACTTTCCAAAACCCACATATGCTGCAAAATCTGGCGTCAGGTTTTTGGATTCCCTTCCCCAGGTGGCAGTGAGAGATGGTAACCTGCGTGCATGGTGCCCGGGCTCTATCTGCAAGAGGCAGCTGCAATCTGGCTCTTCCCCCACAGCTCTGCAGACATTGGCCTCTCTGCCATTAACTGTTGAGCGTGTGTACAGTCTGACTTCCCCCAATGTGCCCCTTTGGCAGGAGTCAAATCTGAAACGAGCCAAGCACGGAGATCTGAAGGTCAGCATCCACCGCATGGAGATTGAGAGAATCCGCTATGTCCTCAGCAGTTACTTGCGCTGCAGGCTTGCAAAGGTAACACCTTGCTGTGCTATGTGTGGGACATGACTCCCGGGAGTGGCTGAAGGCATCGTATTCTGAAAGCAGATTGCTTTGGCGCAGGACTCTGAGTCACAGACCCTTGACATGTTTGGTTAGACTAGAGTGACCATAAGGTTCACCTGAGGAATTCATTCCTCATTGGTGCCAAGCACAGCACCTTGTTCTGGGGAGAGGGTATCGCATGTTCCTCGACCTAGGTAAGGTCAGGACAGGGTCCTGGAAATGCCATAGTTATCCTGCCTCTCCAGCACAGACAGCCCTGTACAGGTCAGGAGCTGCCTATAACAGGACTCTGTTTCAATCCCAGCTGACGCTTCTTTGGGGATTTTCTTCTCCTGGCAGATCGAGAAGTTTTTTCCCCATATCCTGGAGAAGGAGAAGTCCTTCCTCGACCTAGGTAAGGTCAGGACAGGGTCCTGGAAATGCCATAGTTATCCTGCCTCTCCAGCACAGACAGCCCTGTACAGGTCAGGAGCTGCCTATAACAGGACTCTGTTTCAATCCCAGCTGACGCTTCTTTGGGGATTTTCTTCTCCTGGCAGATCGAGAAGTTTTTTCCCCATATCCTGGAGAAGGAGAAGTCCCGAGCAGAAGGAGAGCCTTCCATTCTCTCTCCAGAGGAGTTTGCCTTTGCTAAAGAGTGAGTGGATGTGGAAGGAGGGCTGGACAGTGGGGTGAGCAAAGTCTTGGTCTACTTTGCAGGCTAGGCCTGGAGACCTGGGATTGTATACATTCTGGATCTTCCTCTCTGCTGCACAGGCTGCATGTAGATCCTCCCTGTCCTCTACTGACCAGCTAACACCTTCCTTGTTCTCTGTTGGGCCTGCAGTGAAGCTGGCAGTTTCGCCCTGAGTGTTCCTGACACCCTGGGAAGGAGTTGAAAAAAGAGCCCCACTCAGCCTCCATGAACTGGAGACCTGGGATTGTATACATTCTGGATCTTCCTCTCTGCTGCACAGGCTGCATGTAGATCCTCCCTGTCCTCTACTGACCAGCTAACACCTTCCTTGTTCTCTGTTGGGCCTGCAGTGAAGCTGGCAGTTTCGCCCTGAGTGTTCCTGACACCCTGGGAAGGAGTTGAAAAAAGAGCCCCACTCAGCCTCCATGAA